AAAAAAAAAAAAAAAAAAAAAAAGGATTGTATGTTAGGAGTTGTGGTGTGGGAAGTGGTAAGACAAGGTTGGAAATACACCTAATTTGAGCCTGTCTCACCTTTAGCTGTTCTACTTGTTCTGGCTTCAGTTCATTCTGTACCGTGTGGGGTGCAACAGAGGAATTAATGATGATAGATATCTGGAGGGAAGACACAAAGGGCACAGTAAACTCCAAGGGAGTCTAAGCCCTGGGACCAAGACGCAGTCCTAGCCCTGAGCACCAATCCCCAGCCAAGCCAGGCCTTTAAACACACCCTTCGGTTATCCCGATCCAAAATCTTATAGTTGACAGCCTTCAATGCAGAGGCAGTACTGGCGTCTTCAACGAAGAACTGGGCCCGTGTATTCTCATAGTGAAACTGTAAGAGGAAATAAGAGAATTACACCGGGAGCTCAAAGCCCCTTGCCCAGCTGGCTGCTCTGCCCTCCCTGGAGCCCAGCTTGCCAGCCACTCAGGCCTTATCTTACCTCAATAGGGGTGAAGGGGACACTGCACTTGTTCTGAATCATGCTCAGGAGCCATGCCTTGTCATACTTTCTGCCATAAGGAATCTAGAAATGAGAGAAGAAAGAAGGAAACAATAGGTAACTAAGGCTGAAAAGCAGAGCCATCCACTGCTCCTTTTATACCCTTCATCAAACTTTAAAAGACTTTCTAAATAAAGAACTTGTCATAGATTTTCTACTTAGGATAAACATGGATTCCTTAACATGCTCTCTGACTACCTACATTTTCTATTCCTCATAAGAAGAAAAAAAAGAAATCAAGCTGGGCGAGGTGGTTCACATCTGTAATCCCATCATTTTGGGAGGTGGGGAGGCAAGAGGATTGTCTGAGCCCAGGAGTTTGAGACTAGCCTGGGCAACTTGGTGAGACTTTGTCTCTACAATAAATCAAAAAAATCAGTCACACGCCTGTGGTTCTAGCTATCTGTAAGGCTGAGGCGGAAGGATCACCTGAGCCCAGCAGATAGAAGCTGGGGTGGCTGTGAGTACGTCACTGCACTCCAGCCTGGGCAACAGGGAGACACCACTTTAAAAATAAATTAAGCTGGTTGCAGTGGCTCAAGCCTATAATCCCAGCACTTTGGGAGGTAGAGGCGAGAGGATTGCCTGAGCTCAGGGGTTTGAGACCAGTCTGAGCAACATGGTGAGACCTTGTCTTTACGATAAATTAAAAAAAAAAAAACAAACAGGCCGGGCTTGGTGGTTCAGCCTGTAATCCTGTGCTTTGCGAGGCCGAGGTGAGTGAATTGCCTGAGCCCGCAGGTTTGAGACTCGCCTGGCCAATTTGGTGAGACCTCATCTCTACAATAAATCAAAAATTAGCTGGGCATGGTAGCACGCGCCTGTAGTTCCAGCTACTTGGAAGGCTGAGGTGGAAGGATCGCTGGAGCCCAGCAGGTCGAGGCTGTAGTAGCCAGGAGCGGCCACTGCACTCAAGTCTGGGTGACAGAGTGAGACTACAACTCAAAAAAAAAAAAATAATAACTTGGCGAGACCTCATCTCTACAATAAATCAAAAAATTAGCCGGGCGTGGTAGCGCGCGCCTGTAGTTCCAGCTACTTGGAAGACTGAGGTGGAAGGATCGCCGGAGCCCAGCAGGTCAAGGCTGTGGTGGCTGGGAGTGGCCACTACACTCCAGTCTGGGTGACAGAGTGAGACTCCGACTCAAAAATAAAATAAAATAAAATAAAAATAAAATTTAAAAAGCTGGGTGGAGTGGCTTAAGCCTGTAATCCCAGCACTTTGGGAGGCAGAGGCAACAGGACTGCCTGAGTTCAAGGGTTTGAGACCAGTCTGAGCAACATGGTGAGACCTTGTCTCTACTATAAATTTAAAAAAAAACAGGCCGGGCTCAGTGGCTCAGCCTGTAATCCCAAGCTTTGGGATGCCGAGGTGAGTGGATTGCCTGAGCCCGTGGGTTCGAGACCTGCCTGGCCAATTTGAGAGACCTCATCTCTACAATAAATCAAAAAATTGGGCCAGGCTCAGTGGCTCAGCCTGTAATCCCAGCACTTTGGGAGGCTGAGGTGAGTGGATTGCCTGAGCCTGCGGGTTCGAGACCCACCTGGGCAACTTGAGAGACCTTATCTCTATAATAAATCAAAAATTGGCAGGCATGGTAGCACGCGCCTATAGTTCCAGCTACTTGGAAGGCTGAGGCGGAAGGATCGCCGGAGCCCAGCAGGTTGAGGCTGCGGTGGCTGGCAGCAGCCATTGCACTCCAGTCTGGGTGACAGAGTGAGACTCCAATTCAAAAATAAAAAATTAAAAATTAAAATAAATCAAAAAATTGGCTGGGCGTGGTAGCGCACGCCTCTAGTTCTAGCTACTTGGAAGGCTGAAGCAGAAGGATTGCTGGAGACCAGCAGGTTGAGGCTGTGGTGGCTGGGAGTGTGCCACTGCACTCCAGTCTGGGCGACAGAGTGAGACTTCAACTCCCAAAAAAAAAATTAGCTAGGCGTGGTAGTACTTGCCTGTGGTCCCAGCTACTTGGAAGGCTGAGGTAGAAGTATCATCTGAGCCCAGTAGGTTGAGACTACAGTGGCTGTGAGCGTGCTACTGCATTCCAGTCTGGGTAACAGAGTAAGACTCTGACTCAAAAAATAAATTAATTAATTAAATAAATGAAACTTTCTTATTTTGTCCCCTTCCATCTCTTCTCTGAACCTGCTCTTAGGTATTCTTTTTTTTTTTTTTTTT